TCTCAGCACACTGAAAATTGAGTCCATTTCAGGTGTGGAGTACCACAAACCACTTCAGGGAGGCTGACCCATTCCTCCAGGATCCAAACTTCTTCACTAATCCACACCTTCAGCATCCACTGACAAAACAAGTTGTGCCCACAGGAGCAGGTATGGCATGTAGGGGTGAATAATGATCCTATCACCACATACATATTTCAGGATAAAATTCCAGCTTCACCACAGCCTAATGCACCACCCAACATGTGTTTACATCAAACAATCAGTAACTCAAAGCTGCAAAGAATGAGGAAATGGGAAGGAGTTTTTCCCATACCAAGCAACTTGTAATTTAAGGCATTGCTCTTTCTCATAAGTCTCCACCAGATTGGCATGGAAATCTCTTTGGGATTATGTGGATCTTTTCAGCAGTTCAAAGGTTAATTGGAGCTACACCAGCATTATGAGCAAAAAGGAAGGGACAATTTCTAGCAGAAAGGTCATGTATCTACTGAGCACTTCCCTCTGGAGCATTCATCATTATTTAATTATCACTGTACTAACAGCTAGCATGAATTAAAATATTCAGGGTCTATTAGGCTTTGTGGAAGAAGAAAACCTTGTGGTTTTTTAAGAACCTCACAACAGGAGATACTGGAACATCCTCCTGGCCCAGCTGGCCCTATCTCTGAGCATTTGGGGAGAACAACTGGATTTACTTAACTCTACAGCTTCCAGGCAGGACTGGCCCAGACCATGGGCAAAGAAGTTCCAGGTGAGTCTCAAGGACCTGCAAACAGCCCTGGCACAAGCCAGGAGAGGACTCAGTGACTAGAGAGACCATTTAAGTAGTCTTAATTTGAACCAGAATAGGTTTACATTAGACACTAGGAAAGAATCTTTAAAGTGAGGGTGGTGAGGCCCTGGCACAGGTTGCCCAGAGAAGTTGTGAATGCCCCATCCCTGGAAGTGTTCCAAGGTCCGGTTGGATGGGAACAACCTGGGATAGGGGAAAGTGCCCCATCCATCTTGCCATCTTCACTGAACAAGTTACATCTGAATTTGAGCCCCTTAATACCTGTTGCAAAAACCACCTTCCCCTCCTGGCTGGTGCTATCTGGTAGCAGCACCTAGACAGGTTCTGTCCTCTTGTCTGCATCATGTTCCTGCTCTGAACACATCCCCAGAGGCACAAGCACAGCTTCTCCATGTCCTTGGCTCAGACAGAGAAGCACAGCCCTGAGCCATGTCCTCCTCTCCCTGTCAGAAGAAGCAAGAGAGGCAGAAATGCACCCAAGAGACACCCTGTGACTCTGGTCCCTGCCAGCTCTCTCCAATGTGCCCTGCCCAAGGCACTTTTCCCTGTCGCAGTCTGGCACATCTATTTCAAATGCGGAGGATTGCCACATATCACAGGGAACAAGAAACAGATTCCCAACAGGGAAGCAGGGCCCTGGAGCAGAGTGGCATCAATGACATGCCCTTGAGGTTCAGAGAAGGAGGACACAACTGCTTGTTAATCCTGCTTCCCAGCTGGTGATTTCTAGGGATAACCTAGCCAGGGAATTCTAGGGAAAATGTTAAAAGAACTTCTAGCAATGCACTGTGAGAATAAAATCCCCATCGCTGCAGCTCACAGGGAGGCAACACTGCTGGTTGCACAATAAACCATGTGAACCACTGGACACAGATCCAAGGATCAGGAAACAAGCAGCAAAGTCTCCAGCAAAATCACCTCTTTCATTATTTGGTTTTAGGAACCCAGATGTGACCGCCTGTGTTATGGTAGATTACATGGTGGTCTCAAGCCTGCCTTTCAACCCCACTTTTCCTGAGTCCAATATTTTCTCTTGTTCTATTGTGCCTTTTTCACATGTTCACCCCTACCACATTTGCCTCCTTGCCCTTATCCCAGGCCCTCTCCCCAGCTTCCTCAGACACCATGAGCCCTCAGCCTGTTCTTGACCTCTCAGCGTGGCAGTCTTGAGCTCTTCAGACCTTGCCTGTGACTTTATGCTTCAGCACTTTTATTAATTCAGAGATGCCTTGTCTTAGAGGACAGATATGTACCAACCTGGAGGCACGAGGTAAGGCCACATGGTTGCAGCCCCAGAAGACAAAGCACATGCCCTGTGCCCACATAGATGTTAGCTGGCACAGTCCTGCCACTGAGGACCAAGAAATGAATCAACAGCACAGTGCTGCACCTTTACACAGGCAAGGAAAAGAGGCAGAGGTGAAAGTAAGTCACAAAATCAGAGCTGCATTACTCAGCATGGCCAGTTTGTCATTGCAGCACCTGAGTCAGAGGAGTAGAATTCATTCCACTTAAATTTAGACCTCTAAAATGTAGAATCTTATGTCTGGCCACACAGATTCAGCTTCCTTCACAGTCTGATTCATCTGACCTCTCTCAGACACTATTGTAGATTGAATCACACTCTGGTTCTTCCTATTTTTCTGCATTGGCAACAAAGGGAGCCAACGGTGACTGGTTCATCCAAAGCCAGACATCTCAACTCTATATGCCAAAATAAGAGCAAAGGAATCCCACTCAGAGTATTGTCATTTTTCCCTAATTTAAGGGCTTAAAACTTTCAAAGCAGAAGGACAATGACAGCTGAATTTGTGGTGGGGCTTTTCATGCCAACATTCAGAGACTGTTTCCTCCCTGCCAGCTCACTCAGTTTAATTCATGGGAATGTCCAGAAACAGGAACCCCTGGAGCACAGTAAAAAAATGAGCCAGGCTCTGGCATTTCTGTGAGCAACCAGTTCTTAATTATTTGACTAATACAAGCTTTGTGCAGCAACCCCCATGTGCATTGAGCAGTTTGTGGAGGTTTCTTTGTCACCCATGCACAAACCTCCAAAAGGATCTAGGGTTTCTGCAGAGGTTTGGGTACAAGAGCACAATGCCAAACTGCAACTTTTCTCAGGAAGAAGAGGAATTTATAAAGAAATTGACCTTAAATGTAATTTGGGTCCAGAAGGATCAGAGCACCAGGAAAGGGGCTAATGCTGATCAAGTAGGAAATATATCATGGGCATGAGGCAAACCCTCCTAAATTCTGGAAAGCTCAGGAGCATGCTGGGAGCAGGTCTGATGGGAAAACCACAGGAATGGGAGTTTCTGCACAGAAGGGACACAACTACCCTGGGAGCAGGCTGCAAAGAAGCTCTCTGAGCCATGACAATGGAGACAAAATTACTCACAAGCCCCTGAACATTGGATACCTGTGGAGATGTGGGCTCTCCCTTCACTAGGAATAAGTCAAATATGGTTAGAAATCAGGATTTTATAATTTCAGCTCCCCAGCCCCACTCAGAAGTATTACTAGTTGAGGGCTCTGAGGCAGAGCAGAGCCAGGAGGGAAGGAAATGTCTTGGGCTGTGCCCAGGGGCTGCACTCAGACCCCACAGGGCTATGACAGGGCCAGGAGGAGAGCACGGGGGAAGGAAGTCTTATGGCAAGGTCGGACAGCAGCTGTCTCCAGGAATTAATCCAGGACCAGCATCCTCCTGGGATGGGCCTTAAGGATCTTGCATTGACTGACTGCCCTTCCTGAGTTCGGGAGGAAATTAATCTCCCACCGTGGGCTCCAGTTTATTTTTACATTGCAAGTTAGCCCAAAGGGAAAAAAAAAGAAAATCATAAAAAATGTTCTATTCCCTAAAAGGAATCACAAATTTCACAGCGACCTAAGGAGATTAGTCAAATCCCTGTGACCGTCAGCAGTTTCACTTAGGTCAAAGCCTGGCATAACTCAACCTCTGTGAGAAGGGAGGAGTGGCATGGACTGCCCAGCTCTGCAGGCTGGCCAGCCTCTCCAAGAGGGCCCTTCAGCAATATCTGGAGGGAAATATCCCTTTTGCAGTCCCACAGCAAACAGTCAGACTGACCCGGAGTGCAAACTGTGAAAGGGAACGTTATCTCTTGCAGATACCACAGTGAGATCTTCCAAGCTGGGAAGCAGGAGGAGGACAAATTTCCCAGGCTGGGAGACATCAAAGGCTGTGTGAAACCTTCCGAAAATGCTCACCCTGAATTTCTCATGCATGGGTGGGCATATGGGATAACTCTCCATAGGGTCAGGGAAATGTAGAAAGTGGAGCAGTTGGGTTCTGATTCGCCTCTTGCTTTGAGGGAGAAAATGAAGAGAATTTAGCTCAAAACCTAAAAATAAATATGCCACCCATAGGTTTGTCTTTGCACAAAAACTGGCCTGAGTTAGGTAATGTAAGGCATTTTTTAGATTAATTAATTTCCATTCCCTACCAAACGTGTCTGTGTTAATGGGCTCACAGAAGCATCAGCCCTTCAAGCTGTGCCTCAGACTTCATCCAGGGGACCAGTAATGTGGTGATGCTGCAGTGCACTCAGTGAGCAAAGAGGTTTTGGAGAAATAAACTGAGAACAAACTTTCAGATTTTGAAGTGTTCAAGACCAGGTTGGATGGGGCATTGAATAACCTAGTCTAGTGGAAGGTGTCCCTGCCCCTGGCAGAGGGGTTTGAGCCAGATAATCTTTAGGAACCCTTGCAGCTCAAATCATTCTATGCTTCAATGATTACTCTATGGAGAAATAGGGCTTTCAGCTCACACTCCACAGCTTTAAAAAAAATCTGCCTCCTTTTCAGCAAGAGGAAGGGGCCTCTTGATAGAAACCCAACAGAAATTCTACTGCCCTGTTGTGCAAATACAGAATTTGCTTTACATGGTATCAAGGAGCCAAAAAGGATAGGAGTTCCAGTGTTCTTCCTGCACTGCAGAGAGGCAGGAGGCTTATGCAACTGTTTCTTTCTCTCTGATAAAGTTTTTTGTGCAGTTCTTAAAAGAAATAACAACTTTTGCAATTCTTATCTATCCTCCCAGAGACACTTGTTCTCTCTTTGTAGCTTCTCCATCATTTGAACTCTTCCAGTAGTACCAGACCTGATGTTTTCAAAATTACGAGTCAGGAACTAGAAAATCTTTACACTGATTTAGAAACTAAAATATTGAAAACGAAACAAGATAGACCTCAGCTGCAGGGACTTTTGAGTTGCTTCTGGTCTTTGAGCTTCTGAAACCAAGAGTGGGACAGTCCCGTTGCATTTTTTCCAAGTACCATCACACCTGCTCTTCTATCTGCTGCTTCTTTCCTGGTGTTAAGTTCTCTTCAGACCAGAAAATATCTTTCTGTCCTATGAATGTGCAGCATTTAGCACAAGGTGGTCTTCAGGCAGAATGCATCTTCTGGTCATGGGAAAAATGAAGGTGAATTGTTACAATCAGCTGTTTTACCTACCAAATACATAAACCCAGAGTAAACATTTGAGAAGTGAAGCCAGCACCTGGGATAAGGAAGACAGACAGCATCATTGTCCATCACAGCTGGAAGCACCCTCACTCTTCAATACTTGCTCCTGACCCAGTGAGAGGTTTCCTGTGGGGAAAAAGGAACAATAAATAACAGGGAATCATAGAGTTATATAATGGTTTGGGTTGAAAAGGACCATCTCTTTCCAACCCCTGCCATGGACAAGGGACACCTTCCACTAGACCAGATTGTTCAGGGTCCCATCCAAACTTGGCCTTGAACAATTCCAGGGATGGAGCAACCATATCATCATCGCCATCATCATCATCATCATCATCATCATTATCATCATCATCATCATCATCATCATCATCAAAAATATTGCCCATCATTAATACATCAGAATATCCTCTGCTATTCCTCTAACATCAGGGTGACCAAAAGCATGAGTTTGCACTAAGTGGGTTCAGATTAGTCAGAGGTAACATGACCCTTTGCTCCTGATGATTTCACTAACATGACGTTTGTTCTCTTGCTTTTCTCCAGCCTCCACCTCCCTCAAAAAACCTGGAAATGCAGTTTCCCTAACTAGAAACACACATTTCATAGTAACATTTTCCAGACCACTTTGCAAGAGGAAAAGTGAGACAAATTTTTTCAGCACAGTTTTGTAGAAGCTCACAGCTCTTACCTGGCCCTTCCTGTCTGTATTCTGACATATTCCTTCAGTAATCCCCAAGTCCTCTTGGCTTCATCTTTTTGTGGTGTTTATTTCTTTGCCCTTCTTAAATAAACTATTGGCAGTTCCTATGGTAACACGCCTCATTCTTTCTCTCTCCTCCCTAAAAGTCTCTTCCCATTTAACAGGCTTTTTAAAAGGCTCTATTTATACTTTCTTTTGTTATCCTGCCCCTGCTCCGTTGCAGTCAGACAAGGGCAGGCACAGAGCAGTGCATGCACTACCCTGTGTTACTAATAATGGCCATCCATAAACAGGAGAGCGAGCCGTGGGGATCAAAGCTGTGACCTTCATCAGGAGATGCTCTGCTTCTTCGAGCAAAAAGAAAGGAAACCTGAGACACGGCTGGCTCGGGAGGGAAGCACTGTTTGCAGGGGCCATCCCCACCCTCCCACTCTCCAGCAATGCACTCAGGGGCTGCAAGCCCCCCAGATCAGCCAGCATGTGAAAAACAGCCTCACTGTCTCTGCAGGCAGCTTCCACCTCCCCTTTCTCCTCAGTGTCAGACATTCATCTACATTACCGGTAATTGGATAAAGAGAAAAATATGAACTGTGCTTCTTTTTGCTTCCCATTCCGTGAAAAGCTCCCCTCCTCTCTGTGCTTTTTCGTTTTAAATCTCAGGGCTATTACCAAGCATCAAGGTTTATGTCCTTAAGATTCATCATATCAATTTAAATGCAGATTACAACTTATTTTAACCCTTAGCTGAAGCAGTAGGTGGATTTTTATGATGACAACTCATTGTTTCTCAGGCATTTCTTCTAATGAAAAACAAAGGGTCTGAAACAGGCCAAGTACAATTTGATTCCTTTCTCCATCGAGAGGTTTCACTTGCACAGTCAGGCTGGTGCCAGAAACCACACATTTTTTGGTCATCTTTAGGGTGTTCCAGGAAACATATTGTCAACAGATCTCAAATTTTCAGTAGGAAAAGCAAGTAGAAGAATGACTCCCTAGCCTTCCCCTTTCTTTCTCCACATAAAGACAGCTTTCATGGCTTCCTTATTGATGAAGAATGACCCCCAAAAGTTGTAAATCCATTTATTCTTTTCTTCCTTGTGATCTCTCCTCCCTGGCCAGCACAAGAAACTGTGATGCCCTCAAAGTGCCACTGCATAAAGGGTTAAGGTATCTCAAACTACAGCCTCAATGAGCAACTCGAAAAAGTGTCCTGTCCCCAGGGCAGGATCAGTGTATGAGAATTTGCTCAGATCATTTAATGTTTGTAACTTGATTTCCTGCCGGAAAGCTTCAGTGGGCGGAGTTTCTGCTGAACCAGACAGAACTAGAGCTATTTCCTTTTCCAGATTGCTTGTGCATGTCCAGTCAAGCTCAACTGAATTAATAGCAATCAGCTTGTTTCCCCCACACACCCCTTCCCATTCACCTTTTGCAGTGCAAATATGGGAAGTGAGTGATAATCTTGCTGTCAGGGCCTCGGGAGATGAGATGGTCCTTCAACCTTGGCCAAGTCCCATTGGTTCTCTGCACCTCTGGCCCACTTCTTGTTAAATGCTAGAGAAAGGATGCTCCAATGACCCGGCTCCTGCCCTACTGATTTCCTACATGACCTTGGGAAAGTCAATTAACATTTGCCTGCCTCCACCTTCCATGAAATGGAAAGGAAATCATCAGAAGGCTTTGCCACCACCAGTATTAAACCATGGCCCATGAGGACTGAAAGTAGAATTCTTTCCAATTTAAGCTTAAAGACAAATTGCTATTTTATCCTGAATAGTGCAGTTCTGGGTTGGATCACCTGAAGCACTTCTGCAAGGAAAAAACAGCCCTGTTACCCCCCACCATGCTCCCAAGTGCAAATTGATTCATTCATCCCCTATGTTGGCCATCCTAGGAACCATGAGTTTCTTCCATATTCATTACTGAATGCAACCAAACTTCCTGGGAAAGGCCAGATTCTGTTCCAGGTGCTTGCTTTTTTACCAAAGTTTTATGTTTCATCTAAGTAGTCTGAGCTAACCCCCATCAAGGATGCTTTTATCAATACTGAGATCATCTACAGAGAGGTGAATGCAGGACCAGCCAAGTGGGATCCTATGGACCTCACAGAAGAACAAATGGCTGGGGCCAGAGGTCTAACCCATGTACAGCCTTGGGACTCTACTGGTTTGAATGGTGTCAGGTCAATTTATTTGAGGTTCAGTTGGTAATCCAGACACTTTGGTTATTGAGGTGAAGGTGGGCAAGCCCCCTTCCCTCAGTCAATTTTTAGCAGCACCATTCAAAAATCCTCCCCAAAGTAAACAGCAAAGTCACCCCAAACAAAAGAAATGAAGCACTGTGGGTTTTGGTTTTTTTAACTCTTACAAGACCAAAGGGGAAATTCCTCTGAAGCACAGAGAAATTTCTGAGTGTTGTGTTCCTCACCCTTTTCAAATTGCTGTCTCCATACCAGCCTGTGAGTCCCAGTGCTGGATGCCTGGGGCAGCACCCTCTCCCCCCATCCAGATAGTATCATGTCCTTAGGATGTGTCTACACTCCCAGGTGGAGCTGGTTATGAAGAATAGTCCTTTCCTTAAGCCTGGCTAAGTCTGGAGGCCCTGGGCGTGAGACAGAAAGTAGGCACTGCTCCTTATCATGCAAGAATGTCCTGTAATGAGGATAAGGAAGGTGCTTTGAATAGGTATGTGGGGTTGGCTGCAGGTAACTTCTGGCAGCAGCAGGGCTCTTGCAGCATGGACTCCTACAAGCCCTGGTTTCCAGTGCCAGATGAAGTGGGGCAACAAGCTGCCCCACACCAACCTCCCTAAACCAATGATCAATTCAGCTTCTTTCACCAAAAAAAAAAAGCACAAAATTTGAGGACAACATCAATGAAAAAAACATCACCAGGACCTAAAACTCAAAATCTTTATCTGCTACTCTTAGTTAATCCTCCTTTCTGATTGCTGGCTCGTGTGCATGGGAATGCAATGTGTATGGTTTCATTTTCTTAATTGCAATCATCCTGCAGACCATCTTCAGGCACGCTGGGGACCACCAGTAGTGCAGGGACCGCATGTGAAGAAGCCCTGCCCTGGGAGACCCATCTTGCCTTCCCTGATGTGGTTAAAATGCCATTCCAGATTGTGGTGCTTGAAAGGATTTAATGATGTTCTCAGCCCAGACAAGAGCCCTGGACTATGCCCTGTGCCTGAGAAAGCAGGAATGAGCCTCAGCTGTGTAGGAGGGCAGCTGTAAGAAACCAGGATATCTGCAGCAGTGGTAGAGTTCCCTTCATAGCCTACCCCATCTCTTTCACATGCAAGTGTAGCCTTGGAGTCTCTGGACCTTGCTTTTTCTGTTCTTAAGCTTCACTGGCTATTAATACCTGGGGAATCTGTGAAGTAGGCAAACAAGGTTTTGATGAGTGTGGGAAAAAAAAGGCATTACCACGTATGAGTGAACTTCAGTTTCGCTCATGTGCTGAATTAGTCAGTACCTTCAAGTGAATTTCAAGTGCTGGTCTAGCTATTGAATGACTCTTCTTGAAGAGCTAAGTGCTCCATTTTTAGCCTCTACTGGAGGAAAACTAAATTGAAAAAATAATATTTGAATCAGAACTATTGCAAAGGCTTTGGGGTTGGGTTTTTTGGTGTGTTGTTTTGGGGTGGGTTTTTTTTGGTTTTGCTGGGGGTTTTTTTGTGGGTTTTTTTTTGTTTGTTTGTTTTTTTGCATTTTTCAACATTTTTTATCTCTCCCAGAAAGAAAAAGTAACTAGTACTCAACACACAGCAGTTGCTGGCTGGAGAAATCCAGGTTGCTTGTCATGCCCATGAATGTGATGTCTGAGTCAGGAAACCTCACTGAGATGTTGCAGCCCCAGAGGAATATGATGTGATAATGGCATCACCATAGGTCCAGAAATATCTGGTGTAGAGGGTCAAGACACAAGCTCCAGTGGCTGAGAAATTCAGTGGAGGACTTGCTCCATTTGAACATTTAGTGGATGAAAAGGAGGACGAGTGCTGGAACATCAACACTGACATCTCAAGAATTCATGTTTCACTTCCTACCCTGGAGGAGTGGTTCCTCCTGCAACCTTTCCAACCCAGAATTATCACTTCTCTGCTGCTTCCCCCTCTAACACAGTGGCTGTGAGAAGTGCTGTCTGCAGATGGCAAAAAAACAGATTTGTTTTTTTTCCATCAGTTCACTGTTAATGGTGTCCTGGCTTGAAGAAAGTTGAGTTTGGCTGAAATGGAAATGACAGAAGGGGCAGGAAAAGAAAGATTACAGAAATTTAGACAAAGCAGGTGTATGGATTGCATGTCTATCCTTTCTGCAAACACGGAGGCTGCGTGGGCTAGATCCAGGAAAATGTCCCAGCTGTAATACAAGCACTTTGACAAGCACACATTAAAACATAGCCAGGCTTTCCACTAACACTAAGGCAATCACAGCCCACTGGGATTAGCATCTGTGCAGAGGTTACAATCCTTCCACATTGCTTTTCAGTGCATTATGCTGAAAAACGTGCTCAAGGATGCTCACGTGCACAGGAGATTGTTGATATTTGTGCTGAAAATCCATTCAAATTCAGAAATTACAGCTAACATGAAGCCTACTTGATCCTCTTAAGGCTGTGACCTGATTGTAGAAACATTTCTCTTTGCTTGTTTTTCTAAAATAAAAGTAAGCAAGGCAGAGGCTTGACTGAAGATGGATTCAGGCTTGCCAGGAGACCTGAAGGTGTTCCTCAGTTGCATTGCCCATCAATTTTTAATGCCTCCATTTTCCCTCCAGTTCACAATGGACAAAAGCTCCCCTAGTCAGGATATTCTCTGATTCTGTGGTGCCCAAGAGCATCAGCCAAACTGGTATGAATTTACACCCCCAGCCAAGAAGCAACACTCCCAGGCACAGCAACCCTTCGGCCTCACCCATGCAAGAGGGATCAAGCTGGGTTTGACAGCACTTCTGAGGGAATGTGGTGGAGCCTCATGCTGCTGACCCTTTATCTTCTGCCAGAGCTGTCAAGCTGAAGTTGTGCTCGAGCA